CCCAAATTCTTTGTCCCTTGAATTTTTTTTTTTTTAAGAAAAAAAATGCCACTGGCTAGAGAGTTAGTTGGCTATGTGAGGATTAAGAGCTGTACACGGTAGTAAGCACTCAGCATACATTTAATAACAGTCCTTGTAATATTTGGTCATATAGTGATCACTACTGAATTGTGAAGCAGAAGGAAGTTGGTTTGTTATTAGCGGCATGTTGATTTATGGAAGCGGGAGAAGGGAATTCCCCCCTCATCCCTCCCCCTGTACAATAAAGGAGGAAAGACTTTGCTTTTTTTTTTTTTTTTTTTTTTTTTACTCACAAAGAAAATCAATTGATCAATTTCCAACTCATCCACCACTTAATGCAGAGATAATACACAACCGCAGTAAATACTGCCCATCTACATGGCTTGGAGAAGGAAAACCATAATTGGAAGAAAACTCTATGCATGTCAATTTATGGACTGGGAAATTCTCTCTCCCAACCTCAGTTAGGAAGAATATAGTTACACTGTCCCCAGAGAAGTGTAATCTGTGCTCGGTCTTTGCTTTTGGAAGAACGGCAAATTTAAGCTGCTACTGTGAGCGGATATTGCTGATTTCCATAACTTGCAAGTGAAAACTGGCAGACAGGAAACTGTCATATTTGGTCCTCTTTCTAATGGTTCCTTTTGGGATATGATGAGAACTGTATCAGTAAAGTGCTAGCAAGCTTTTTTTTTATGATCTGCTTCCAAACACATCAGCCTTTGATTTGATGAATGCTAGCTGGGCCCTAATGTCATAGATGCCAACAAAACTTGAAAGCTTTAATACAAAATTATTAAGTGTGACACAAACTGAACATCTCAGCTATCACTCATGCAAGCATAAGCAGCACTAGGAGGAGAAAGGGCAAAGTCCAATCTGAAAAACAGATAATTCATTCTCTCTGAATTAAAAATACTGACTGTGAAACATGTCTGATTAGTAGAAAAAGTAGTGAAAGCCAAATTCAATACTTCACGTCCCCCACCCAAGAATTTGCCATGTCCCTTCTTTGTTCACACCCTTTTCTTTCCTGGAGCGACATCTGAATGCAGTTGATACTGACCCATGAAGGTACAACATCAAAACCAGACATGATGTCTTTGGAAATCAGACCTAGACTTTTGCTAAACATGCAGGGAAGAGAGGGGAGAGAAGAGAAGCAAAGGGCAGGTATTCAGCTAATGGAAGGAACATGTTATTGTGGAGTGCTTCCAATTTATGCCAGATGGCATGCAATGCACAAAATTAAAAGGAGTGGTAGGAGAAATACTAGCTCTGAAAAGAGTGAAAGTGGGGGGAAGGAGAAACCAGGTAAGAACTTTGTTATGAAGAAAAAGAGGAAGAGCACTAAGAAGTTCAGTTTAGGACCAATAGTAGTTTTCCCAAAATTACACTACCAGACTAAGCTGTTTCACCACTGAAGTAGCCATAGTTGACAGAGCTAAATCATGCCAATAACATTAGTTAGGCTCAAGTTCAACTGAAAATATTTTTTAATGGAGTTTAGTCACAATACAGACCAAATACTCCATGTTTTCCCCACTTTTATCGTCCCAAACCCAAGTAACTGCCCTTCCCCACAAGTTGATTTGAGTGCAAAAAAATAAAATCAAAATGTTGGCTACTGTATATGCAACCATCCTGTTATTTTTCCAACTCATTGAGGCAAAAAAGGAAATCCCCTTCCAAAAGTGTAAGAACACAGCCCAGCTAAATGTATCTTCTGCTCTGGCATAGACAAAAATTTACTGGCAGGCAATTGTGAAGGGTCTTTTCTTTTCCCTCGTCCTATGATACTGAACATTAGGAATAGTAGTGAAGAAAATAACATGTAATAATTCTCAACAGACCATACCATTCCTTGCTTGTCAGTCTGTTATCCTTATTTGGTAGTGGTGCAATAAGCAGAAAAAAAAAGCTACCCCTCATTTATAATGCAATATACAGATATATAAAATTAGACAATTTTTTCTGTGTCTACTTGGTGCCTTAAAAAAAAAACACCACACACACACACAAAACAGAAATTAAATCCCCAAACAAAAAAGATTTAGGTCTAACGTTAAACTCTACACATTATTGGATAATAATTGAAACTGACAAGAAGTTTATTTTCACTTGACACAGAAACATCAGGTGGTTCACAATGCTAACAAGGTAAATCCCTCTTGCACAGTCTCTCAAACTCCAGGCACTATCCACATGTGTCTTGAGGATGAGCTGGGTGGAAGTGGGCAGAGCTAGGAGCAAAGATATTCACTTCAGAGACAAAACTTTGTATCCCTGTAAATAAGCAATCAGATTGCCAGCCAAGCTACTACTGATGTAATTCACTCTGGAAAAGCAGTTAGTTCCAATAGCATCTTTAGAAGGAATGGTGGGAAGAGGCCAGACTTCTATTACTCCCTCTTGTCCATACTCCTGCTCTACTTTCTCAATCCTTTCTTTGGGTTGAACTAGATTTTGGTGGAAGACCCAGGTCTGTAACCAACTGCAAAGTGGAGCAAGATGGATGCCAGATGCAGCAAAGAAATGTTCATGTGCTGGGAGGAAGGCAGGGGGAACTAGAAAAAAAGCAAGCAGAATTAAAACTTTTTGCTTGCCTGCTGCTACTCTGGTGCAAAACTGCCCCTCTCATGATCACTTTGTAGCAGTCTAGCAGCAATCCTGGTCTGCCCACAAGCATCTAGTTTGGCTCTTCCTGACAAAATGCACCTTCAACTTCCCACCTTACATCACAACCCAAGGAAGGGAAATGGTATAAAGGTGCCACCTTTTGACTTGTTTGGAATGTAGAGACACATGAGATTAAAAAAAAACCTGTGGTCTTACAAGCTTTTCAAATCCAGGTAATGGTAGATTAGAATAATTACAATATGAGAATGGTTTTAGCTGATATATGGGTACTGATATTCTAATTAGGATTTATGTTTCAAATTCCATACACGTTCATAGGTATACTTTAAAATTAAAGATATCCAACTTCAATTGACAAAAATCTCAATTTTTGAAGCTCCTTTTAATGTCCCTATCTGACTCCATATTAAATTTAACCCATTCTTCTCACACTATTTGCAAGACACTGTCAAAATCATGTGGTCTCAATGGGCTTGTGGCTCTATTGTCCACCCAAATAGGAAGAAAGCAAGAAAGAATATTCTCTCTTGGCTTTAAAGTGCATTATTCTCCCCCATGAAAACATTTTTTTAAAAAAGGGAGGGAGAGGTATTTCAATTTTGAGGGCAACTGTCTGCCTCAACAATGGCCATCGAGAGACAGCTGGGAAAGGACATGGCAAAGGGTTGCCAACTTTTTACATAAAGCAGCCACCTATACCTTTTTGAAGGTACATGGCTGGGAAAGTGCCAGAGCTCCTCTTATGATAGCAAAAGCTGTGTTTTCTAAATGATCTTTTGCCAAATAACCGGGAAAGCATAAGGCTTTCAGTACTCCAAATAGTAAACTAGAGGAGATCTGCCTATGGGTATGTTAAGTTCAGAAGGTTCAAATGCTAAAAACTTCAAATGCTAAGTATATTTCCTGCAGAATACAGCCCCATTTGTAGTCTCAGCTATATACTACAGTATTATGAATCCTAAAAAGATACTGGAATGCAGCAATGTACTATAGGGAATAGGACTAAACTGACACAACACACTTGTTTGCTTAGCCATAAGCGTGTTCTATTATGTCTGAACTGGAAGAGTGGGTCCATGTTTTAGAGCATAAGCTGCAGGCAGCTATAGAAAGCAACATTCTCCATGTCTGCTAATTCCTCCATCATCCTCTCCCCAGGCACATTTTTCTATCCAATCTAATTCCTGTTATTAGAGTTCTTCCAAGAATAATGTGTGTACGAGTGAAAATATTTGTGTCAGCAGGTATCCACAGCGGAGATTGGGGGAACAAAAGATGAAGGCATTGTCACACCTTTGTGACACCAGTTCCATTCCTTATGTACAGGTGTTGTGATATTGCTCACATACATGAAAGGGGTGGAGCTTGCATTGCAACAATGGCACTCTAAGCCGTGTTTCAGAATGCTTCTCATCCTGCAAATACTTGTATTTTTCAGGCTGTAGGAGTAAACTACAGGAAATCATTTTTAATCTGTCCTCTTTACATGATTTTTTAAAACTATAAACTGATTTGCTACCATTACATCCAGCTTGGCCTTCAGTTATAAGCCAGGCTAATTGAAATTTCAAAGAAAATCAATTTTCCAATGGCAAAGACTGCTACCACCATTTTTTATTCTTGATGTGGCTCTGTGTTTCAAGCTGGACACACTAAGGTGCTGCTTTACCATGATATTCCTCTGTGGAAACTTTCATGATGTGATATCTATACAATTAAACTCTGAGTTCCAAGACAGTGCTCTGCAAATCTCAGCCACATCAAATTGTATCTGTCACACTTTCAATTTTGACGGATGTCTGTATATGTTTACTGTTAAAAAAAAAAGTCACATCAGAAGTGACCCCAAAGTGGAATGAAATGTAAGGCTCTATCCCATTTACTAAAACCATCTTGTAACTTAGAAGAATTAATAAACGATGGAAGGTTGTCTTTGCAGACTTAGAAGTTGGAGCAAGAGGGACAGTAATTCACTCTAGATCTCTCAGTCAAGCACAAAGCCTTATATTAAAAATCCAAAAATGCAGCTGATTATCAAAGTATACTGTATTTTTCCCATTTCTAGTTTCCCACAGACTAGGATATTCACTGTGGTTTGGAAAACTGTGGATAGGAGACCCCCTCCCCTGCCAAAATAAAGTTGTGCCTTTTTTTTTTTTAATACTGAGGAAAAGCCCTTAAGAGTTTAAGTTGTTGCAAAGTAATTTCCTTCATTTTTTTCCTTGTGCGTGCTTCTTTACATTTTCTATCAGGTTTCCGTATGTACTTCTCAGCACAGAGACACCATTCTAATAAATAATAAGCTAGTTTTCAGATTGGTTATGCTTTCAGGTAGAGAGAGTATATTTCAGAATCCACCATTTAGCCACAGATTGTAGCCCAAATTCTAGCGGTTCAGTAGGAGGCTTTGCTTTTACTCTTGGTAAAGAAAAATGAGAAGGCAGCTCCAACCTTACTGCAAATCAAGGAGAAGGAGAAGAAAACATCAAACTTTTGGCTCTGATTACAGTGTAAGCAGCTCAGAAAAAAACAAATCCCTGTGTTGCTGCAGGGCTAATCCTCATCTGTCTTCCTGCAGAGAAAATTAAATCTCTCTTATGAACAGAACATATGCTAAGGTTAATAACGTCACTACAGCTGCTTATACACAGAGAAGGATTTTTATTCCAACGTCTGGTAGATAGACAAGAGTGGAGGAGAAAAGTCACCCTCTATGCCAATGTGGCTCTCCAAGGTGACTCCTGAGAGCCAATCTCCGTGTGTGTCTGTGTGTGTGAGAGTGTGTGTGTGTGAGAGAGAGAGAGAGAGAGAGAGAGAATAATTGCAGGAACTCCAAATTTTGCTTAGAAGAATGATGCTTTGGAAACAAATAATTTAATATTCCTCCCCCTCAAAATAATTTTCCTGTTCTAAATTTTGTCCTCTCCCAGGCAAACTGCTATACCAGAAAGAGAGGGAAAAAAGCCATTACAGGAATCTCTATTTTTCTCCCAGTAACAGCTTGTGAAGCGGAAGAGGGGGCATATTTAGACTGAGAAATGCTACTGCTATGAACAATAGTACCTTCTGTGACTCCTTTTAGTATACTAACTTTTTTATATATAAAAAATGTTACCACAGATAGCAGGATGTATGTCTATTAGGGTCCTCAAGGACCCATGAAACAAGATGGGGCTTGTTTTATCATTTCACACCACTGCAAAAAAATGAAAGCTATTCAAGATAGCTACTTCCTCCCTAGAGTTCTGACTTGGACCCAGGCTTCCCTTCTTCGTATTGAATTATTTGCTACAGTCCAGAAAAGGTGGGGGGAGACATTAGATTACCTCTGTGCTACATATTCACTTAAACAAAAACAAGCAGGCTAGAATGGCCAGTGCCCTTCCCCTTCCCCCACTGAATGCTGCAGTTTTCTGCTTTTGGGAAGAAAAAAAAATAGACCTTAATTGCAGACAGAGTCTCATACACAATAAAACGCTACACTTCTGCTGAGCCCTGCTTTCCTGGGGAGTGAGGAGATACTGTATGTGCTCAACAGCCTTGGAAGAGCTTCGCTGCCAACCATAGGGAAATTATTTGAAGCAACTGGGCTTCTCAATTCAGCCATTGCCATGTACCAATCCCACAAAGAATTACAGGTAGTTTTACACACATTGGGCTACTTTCCTGTCCCAGAAGTAAGGTGGAGAGGTGAGCCAGTGTTCAGTCCAAATGCTCCATCTAATACACACAGGCACACTTCGTACATCTTTCACACCACTGCCCCCCAACAGGTGGACAAAGGCCTCCATTAGTGCAAACAGTTTCCTAAGCTAACATCATTGACAGTAACTGGAAGAACTTCTCATTTTAACTCTTAGCCTGTGACAAGCATACACACACATGCTGTTCAGCACACTCAGATTGTTTCAATGAAATCAACGGCCTCTCCTTTCAGGACTGACATAGGAAAGGAGGACATTAATACACAGCTGCACCTAGTATCCCAGTGGTCTCTTAGCAGCAGAGCTGTACTTGTGGGGAGAGGATATTCTTCCTAATTGCTGGCCTAAGTGGCAGATGAGGGATATTAATTCCCCAACACACCACAACCCTATTTCTCTCTCTCTCATGTGTACACATGCGCACACACCCTACTGAAAACTACAGAACTCCAACTAAGACTGGACGACTACATTACATGGCACTAGGGAGGTGGAGTGGAATACACACGTGGGCCCCTCTCCACCTGATCTGTTGATGGGGCCTCTATAATGTGGAGGGCAAACAGGATCCGGGCAACAAGCCAGAGTTTGAAGCTATTTCTCCCCTGCCAAACAGCTTGCCTTGTCAGTAGTATTCTCAGCAAAGCATGGCAGAAGGGGCCAGACAGATGGGGAAAGGGAAGGAGGGAAGAGGGTGCCCCCATTCTGTAGAAAAAGTGCAAAGTGGCTTCCAGCCCTGGGAGGCATGTTTCTGTACCCCACACTGTGCTTGTCTGTATTAAAAATTGGGGGGGGGAGATGAGGGACACAGAGAAAGGATAGTTTGGGGGTAAGCTGATTGGTTGAAAGCCGGGGCATTGTGGGAAAGGGGAATTCTACCCGGCAGCTGCCTGGAGTCTCATTTGGGTGTGTGGGGCTGAGAGTGCCTGTCCCTCTCTTTGTTACCTCTGGCGCTCACTTGCTCACTCACTCCCCGCAAAGTCAGCTGACCCGCTCTGACACAGGCGTCCTGGTGTCCACGGCCTCGTCCCTGTTTGTGGGCCGGGACAAGGCCGTGGAGGACGACACAGTATCTTTGCGCTCGTGTTTGTAGGACACTGCCGTGCCACCAGATTGAGTCTTAGGTGGCTCCTTAGGGCAGCCATCACTTTCTGGAGCCCTCTCCTCTTTATAGCTCTTGCTGCTCAAGTCCTGGGGCTCAGCTGGAAGGCTCTTGCTGTCCTTAGGGCTTTCAGGGGACTGAGCAGGGGAAGTGCCCTGGAGCTCCGAAGATGGATGATGGGGAGGGAGGAGCTGATCCTTCTTGCCGGGAGAAGAGGAAGGGGCAGGGGTTGACACAGCATTGCCACCCCGCCCTTTAGGGCTGCTTTCTTTGCTGCGGCGCCCTGGGCTCTTGGCAGCCATTCGCTGTCCTTTGGAACTCCACTCCCCTGTGTTGCTTGGAGGAGGAGGAGTTGGCTTGGTGATCTCTATACTGACAGCCTCACGTGTCTTGCGCTTCTTGATGGGCAATACTGTCTCCCGGACTGCCTGGATGACTGGCTCCTTGACTGTTTTCTTTTTAGCTTCAGCAACAGCTGCTGCTGCACCGCTGCCTGGCTTTCGTCCCCGTTTCTTAGGTACAGCCTGGGGATCTGATTCAGGTTTCCGTTTACGTCCAGGACGCTTGATAACCATGACCTGTGCTGAGGTGGTAGCCCCGCCTGTGCCTTCTGCCTTTGCTCCCACTGAAGACGACTGCAAAGGCATCTTGACTAGCAGCTTTCCCGAACTCTTCTCAATTACCCTTTTCACCTGTACACCTTCCGAGGCAGTTCCTCTGGGTTTGGCAGAACCACTACCTTTAGGTCGACCCCGTCCACGGCCTGTGCCAGGAGTTTTAGGAGTTTTAGCTTTCTTAGGAGGCTTCTGTTCTCGTCGTGAGGGGCTCCCACGTCCAGTCACCGTGAAATCAAAATCATTAGGATCCAGAGAAGTGTCTCCCACCTTCTCAAAGTAGGCAATGAGCTCAACTTTAGAGCGGAAGGCCTTGCCTTGGGGGCTGCAGTTACAGAACCAGAAATACAAGAAAGAACAAGGAAGGGGAGGGGGGAGAGAAAATTAATGGTGGTTCACCAGAGATACACAAGCTAAATTATCACATGAATTAAAAAACCTTTATCTTGGAGGAAGTTGCCAGAGTTCTGTGTGCATGACTCTGTAGTCTACACTTTGTACATCAAACATCAGATTGCAAATAACCATCGATAAGGGGAAGTTTTGAGATTACTTGGCTTTGTGTTGAGCCTTATTTTCCCCCACTCTTGTATCATGTGTAGCTCTGACGTGAAAGCTAATGGAAATATAAGGGAGAGTAATTAATACATTACTACTTCAGATCCCACCAATCGCCTCACACTTTTAAACACGGGAGCTTCGAAAGATGGCTCCTAGAGGTACCAATCAGAAGATATTACACCATGGTTCTGCCTTTTCTTCTTTAATCAGAAAAATGAGTCAGAAATACCAAATGGAGGGCAGCATAACATCTGAGCTCCCCTATAAAATTCTGTGAATAAAATAGGGTGAACCCCACTATCAAAGCTTTGTCTGGAAGTACTCCCGGTTCCTAGTCCAGTATCTAAAATAGCACCATTTTCCTGAGGGACTGATCAGAGATGTTACAAAGAAAATGATGCAGAAAATCTAATGTTTTCAGAAAAAGATGGGGAAAAGAAGCAGGTTCCTGTCATATGATCTTGGTCAAAAACAGTATTACCTAGTGCCTGAATTTGTAATGTGTTAAAATACAGGTAGTCCCCAGTTTAAGAACGAGTTCTATCTCCAAGGTCTGTCCTTAAGTCGAATTTGTATGTAAGCTGGAACAGTATTATTATATAATACTTTATAAGTAGTATTGTATAATGAACTCAATCATTGTGTATTTAACTTGAATTTTGCTACAATAGGCTTCATTCTTGACTATGGGTCATCCATAAACCAGGCATTCTTAACCTAGGGACTCCCTGTATACAAGACACGTATGTCAGACACAGGTAAGTTCCCTCCACCACCACCACCCTGTATGAAAATTCACATAGGATGGGGATGATAGACCACCTGCTAAATAACTCAACATTTTGTCAAGATTCTTGTTCTGTATGAAGAAATTTCTTCAACAGTGATTTTATTTATTTATGGCAGCAAAAAATAGCTAATTACAAGGAGTTCTCTAGGAATACCAGGACCACAAGCTAGACTGCAAAGTTGAAAAAACATCCCAGAAGATGACAATGCCAAACCACTTCTGTACTTCTGCAAAAAAAATTACATGCTCATGTCCATGAAGTCACCAGGAGTTTAGCTCGACTTGAATGAGCCTTTACATTTTTGTACTCCCTACTAATAAAGGATAATTTCTAAATCATAGAAATGTAAAAATTTTCAAATGAACACACCATTTGCAACTTAAAGAGGAAAGGCTTTACCCTCAAAGGCCACTTTAAAAACAATTAAAAAATGGAAAAAGTTTATATAGAAGCCATTTTTAAAAATATTTGAGAATTGCAATATTAATATGAGAACGAGTATGAAAATCATTAGAACAGTTAAATCTTACTAATTAACTTGTTCATATCCAAGTTATATGGCATTTCTGTAGTGTTTCCGTTTTAATTTCATTATTAAAAGTAAGTTTTTTAAAAAGCTAGTAATAGCTTAGCCTCTAGTTGGGGAGACTAAGCCCTATGTCCGTGTAGCAAAAGAGAGGAAGAAGCAGAATAATACATTAACCCCTTCCTGACTAGGGGTGAAATATAAATATTTAGAGCTGCGGAGGCATTTTTCCACTCTGGAAGCACAATTAAAATGGGGGGTTCTACATAGCATTTAAGATAACTATATTAATTGTTAATGCCTTTTCTTCTTTGTGTTACATTTACTCATATGTAACTTTTAAGAAATCCCTGACATCTTCAATTAAACGTTTGTTGATTTCATATTCAGCTATTTTATTGCTTCTTGAAAGTCCCAATTAGAAGATTAATGGGTAATTTCTTGAAATTGAACAGCCTGTGAAATTACTCTTTGTTAGTTTCTTTCCATACGTGTATGCCTACATGCAGGGAACAGAGCTGCACAATGCTTCAGATTCAAAGAGCACATGGGGACAGTTACAGAGCACTTGTCAGAATTTTTTTAAAGCAGCATGTCATCTATCTATCTATCTATCTATCTATCTATCTATCTATCTATCTATCTATCTATCTATCTATCTATCTATCTATCTGATTT